ACCAATAACAGTGAGCTCAAATAGAGAATGAGTATAACAATGTGATTGCAGAAAAAGTCTATATTAATTGGTGCACCAAAATAGCCTAGAATCTCAAATATTAGCTTTCTATAGATCATGTGCCAATAGAACGATGCTCCACGAACTTATAATTAATACATGTATCATATTTAACGACTATTACATGTGTCATGGAAGTACCAATTTTGAAAGAACATCAAGAAGGCCATTTATCACTATAGTTACAATGCGGCAACATTGGGACGGAACAATTCCATGTTAGGTTGGGAGCCAAAATTCATGGGCCAGGCCCAAACCTAACTTTTAGGTTTTATGTCGAATTAATGTCTTCGAGGGACTGCTTTAAAAATTTATTTTTCCAAATGTATAAAGTTTTCTAATTTTCCCTTTTAGATTTCTGCCTGTATGATTTTTTATAATATCGATTTTACCCTTATTTATTGGATTTATATTTATTATAGTTAATTTTTTTTTAAATCTAAAAGATTTAAACTCCTAAATTATAGACATAATCCTTTAATTATTGTGGACCCCATACCAATTTTTCCTTAATCCCTTAATTCACTCATTCATAAGATTAGTACATGAATAATCTATATTAATTACAAAAAGATTATCATGATTTCAATTTCTAAATTAATTAATGTGTAGATTTACCCATGATTTCAAATTCAAAATAGTTGAAAAATATACCCACGATTTAATGATATTATGAAGTATAACATTAAAAGTTTTCGGCAGCAATAAAAAGCAACTGGATTGTAACTTGCAATTTGATATTTAATAATAGATATAAAATATATCCGGATATAATCTTTAACTATTGAAGTCCTAATCTCATATAAAATTATATAGTGTAGATATATATTATATTGCATATAACCATTAACCTATACTATCAATTTAGACACCCTAGCACATGCTTCATTATTATGAATTGCTCTTATTAACATTAACCTAGCAAATGCAATCGAATACAATTACAAGATAAACCTATATGATAAAAATAAAATATATCCGACTATTGAGTTCCTATAACTACCAAAATGGTACTTAGTTATATCCGCATGTTCGGGATAAGGGGACGGCTCGAACGATCGATAGGCGACAAGCGATGAAGAAGAAGCTACGATCTGTTATTGGACTTCCGGTCGGCGACTAAAGATGCACGGTCGGCGACCAAACCTCGTGATAAACGGACGGAAACAATGGACGGCGGCCGGAGACGAAAGAGAAGCTAGACCGGTGTGCTCTGACGAAGAAGAAGAAGCAGCTCGAACGAACGGAAACAATGGCTAAAGGAATGATTTGTGGAAGGAAATCGAATAGAATAAGAAAGGTGGGAAGGAGGTTTTCGAAAATTTTGAATAATGGAGGATTTTGTGGATTTGGATAGTATTTTGGAGATTTGGAAATTTTTATTTTTGGAAAGAATAATTAGGCAAAAATTAAGGGATTTAAAATGTAACGTTCCAAATAACAAATTTTGGATTTCAAAAAATAATTAATATTTAGGTGTAGGTACAAAAGGATATAATGGTAAATTTGTGGTGGGTACCATCTTAAATTGGATTGTTTCATGTACATTGAATTCTTTTATGTAATTATAATATTTAAATAGCCTATCAATGTACTAATCTCATTTTCTGGCGTCTACTCATATATATATATATATATGAGTTGCTTTATGTGGTGTGCTGTAGCCATGGAACAAAAGGGATTTGTAGTAGTAGTCAATTGTGTTAGATCGCTTAGAAGCTAAGGGGGCTTTTGTTGAAGCTAGGAGCTTTTGTTGAGACCTCTAGAGATATTTGTGAGGAGAGTTTATTGTATCCAATTCTTGACAATAGTGGAAGACTGAACGTAGCTCTTAGTGATGAACTAGTATAATTTGCTGTGTCGTTTATTCTTGTGTTTACAGTTTGGTGTGTGTTTGATATTTCTGTAAAAGGGGAAATTATTCAGGACTATTAATTTCCCAACATTCTAGTGGTTAGATTCAGTTTGCAGACAATGAAGTTGAAGACGACGCTTCGAACAAAGCTCGTAAAATTCTGCCATGGCGTAATCTGTTGCGTTTACGAGAATTACCAACAAGGTCTCACATTGATTAGGAAAGGAAGTGATACATAGATGAAACAATTATCTCTAGGTATGAGGCATTTTGGTGAGACAAAAATAAAGCTGCAAAGATTATGTCAAAACGATAAATATCCTATACTTTGAGACTTGGGAGTAGGTCGGGTTGTCCTCGACATATTACTTGGTTTGAAGAAGAAATTAATAAACTGAATTTTAAATTTGCATGAATGGCGACTGTTCATGCGGATGACGAGCATAGGGATTCCAATGCGGTGGGAATTCTTTAGGACAACCAAATATCTTATCTTACGGAAAAAGACCTATGAGAGGAGAGAGAGTTAAGAAAAAAAAAAGTTTTGTCTTTTATCCATATAAATTATTATATTTTATATTTGAATCCTATTTTCTATAAGCTCCTACTTTATCAAAAATATTTCTTTGAAAGAAATTGAACCATCGACTTTTGAAATGACAAATAGACGAGTTATTGAGACGGATGAAGATGGTATATATGGTATATCCTTGTCTCTCCGTCCTCATTTCATTTCCTATAGGAAATTTGAGACTATGATGATCCTTCGTCAAATTGGACTCCACGAGAGAATGTTCTATTTATAATTTATTTTATTAAACTTGTTTATTAATTTTTAATACAACACCAATGATTATTGTCTTTGATTAAATTCTAAATTAAATGTTAATTCTCTATTAGGATCCTCATTTAAGTGGTAATTAAATTACGAGAGAAATTCTTAAATTTTATAAGAAAATGTCTCATAATTCATTAAAATATAAATTTAAAATTTAAAATCTACAATTCAAATTATCAATATGATAAGTTTCAAAAGGTGTGCATCACAATCTTAACAATGTCTTGTAAATTAAACAATATATAATAAATTTTACATCAAAATATTTAAGTTTAGGGTTTTAATTATTTTATTTTAATATCTGATCAATTTTACATAAAATGATTTTCACATTTAATTTTTCTTTAGCTATGTGAAATATTGCTAAACATATTAGTTTTGTGATATTCAATAATTTCTCAATTCAATCTCTAATTTCTCGATTTTCTTTCAAATAAAATCATATTGTCACAAAACATTAAAATAATTGATACAATCATGAAGTGTCAAAAGTACCCTTTATTAATTGAGATATTAAAGAAAAAAAGAGATTTTATTTTTATTAATTTAGTTGAAAAATCAATGTAATGTTAATTATTAAAATAAGTATACGCACCCATAAATATTCATATTGATGCTTACAAGTTACAACCAATTAAATTCGACCATATTGACAAAACTAGCAAAATTTTAAACTTTCAATTTCAATTTATTTTATTTTGTTATTTCTTAAAACTATTTATAATTTGATGTTTAACCCCCTCAATTCGTGGTCTCCAATTTATATAATTTAAGTTTAAATATAATTTTAGTCCTTTTGTATTTTTAAAATGGCCATTTTAATAGTACTCGAAAAAAAAAAAGGTTATTTTGGTATATGGACTTTCAACAAAAACCCTAAAATTGATCACTTTCCAAAAAGTACAAGAAATAAAATAAACGTTTTGAAAATACAGTAACTGCAATGAAATTTTTTATTTTTATTTCATTTATTTTGATTCAAATTTTACCACGCAACTTCACTCGTAAATTTGTATTAAATAATTTTCATTATGTCTAAAATGAGTTAATTTTGCAAATATGGACCAAAATGACAAGGAGTGAAACAAACATTTCAAAAGTATAGGAATTAAAATGAACAAAAATTAAAAATAAGAACTAAAATAGATGTTTTAAAAGGAACCCCAACCAAATTATTATTTAAACCTATAATTTACTATTATATTATATATATATATATTTTTCTGATACATACTATTATATATTATTTGATTTTAATGTGAAGTAATTTCTCAATAAAAATATTGTCTCTTTTTTTGCCAAAGCCAACTTTTGCATAAGGGAGCAATTGCAAGCTGTGAAATACTCAATTTGGACCAAATAATCAAGGGAGGTTAATGGTGGAAAGATGCATGTAACTGCCACAATTTTATTTCCATTACTGAAAAAAAAAAGTTCATTTATGAAGAAACTAACATAGGAATCTTTTTCTGTTCAAATCCATTTATGTCATTTAAGAATTCAAAATTTAAATACTATTTTAGGAATACTTTCAACTTTCTGATTTGGTTCATTTTTGTCATTTGGTATATTTTGCTGTACCTTCAATTTTATTTTATTTCAATACATATGCTTTCAAAACGTCAGGTTTGATAATTTCTCAAAAAAAAAGAAAAAAGTCAAATCCTGTACTTTTAAAAAGGGATAAATTTGAAAAATTAAATACAATTTATATATCACGAAAGTTCTTTAATACATCTCAAGAAATTTAGAAAATTTCAATAAATGAGATAAAAATTAAAATACACAAACCAAAATCGTTAAAAAAGTAACAAAAACCAACACTTTATTGCTAACTTGATTTGGTGAATTTTTTATTTTATCTTACACTGAAGCATGGGCCTTTCGGACTAGGATTCTTCAAACTTGCGCGCCAAATAAAACGTGTAAAATAATACAGAAATTCAATTCCAACAATAGCACGTCCCCCATTTCCCCCCTACATATATCCGATTATCTCTTCTGATTCGCTTCCTGCAAAATTTTATCACAAATTCCCAAACATCGGGACAACTTTTCCACTTCCTCTTGCTTTTTCCCACCCCAAAAATTCTATTTGTTTGGCTTGTTTCTGCCCGATTCCCCATAAGAAAAAACAAGAAACAAGACAATCATTTTGTTTTGCGTTGTGGGTTTCTCATGGGAAGTGATTCCAGTGCCCCATTTTGGGCACAGAGATATTGAGAGCTCAGATTTTGGAAAACAGAGATGGATTTGGGGGCTGGCAGTGGCAGCTCGTTTTGGAACAGTGGAAGTGTGGATTTCTTTTCGAGACCATCTGTACATGAGGAGGACGAGGAGGCTCTGAAATGGGCAGCCATTGAAAGGCTTCCAACTTTGCGGCGTTTGAGGAAAGGTTTGGTGACAACGCTGGAGGGTGAAACTGATGAAGTTGATGTCCCAAATCTTGGGTTTCAACAGAGGAGGAATTTGATTGAGAGGCTTATAGGAGTTGCTGAAGAGGGCAATGAGAAGTTCTTGTTGAAGCTCCACAATCGTCTTGATAGGTAACTTTTGATCATATTGATGCATCTTTTTCTTGAAATGTGTTTCGTCTTGGTCGAGAAATTATTTGAGGGGCTGGAATAACGTGGCTAGTAGTTCTATACATTAACATATGCTGGGTTAAAGGGAGGAAATAAAAATACAGGGGTTTGGAAATACGATCTCTTGCTCTGATACTATTTGAAATATGATATCTAACACATACCCGTGGCTTTTTTGGGCTCACAAGTCCTTGGTCGAATCTCGTTGAACCGGATGCTCATTTGCATTTGAGGCTCTCATAATATCTCAATATTAATGGGGTTACATCTCAAAATCAATTGACAATTAGAAGTAACTCTACATTTTATAGATCTAGTATTTTATTTCTCGACGTGATTCTTAACACATATTTATATATATAATCTTTCAAAAATTTACGCTTTACTGTAGTTCTTTAAACTAATTTTTTAAACTAAGTGAAATTAAGAGGGGAGCTTTCTTTACTCTACCTTTGTTGTTTCTTGGAGAGTTATTAGGATAGTTATTCTGTAGCGGTCACATTATATAATTTTTTATATGTTTTCAGTCACTTTCTTACACGTTTTCTTAACTTTTCAGAGTTGGAATCGAACTTCCGACGATCGAAGTTCGGTTCGAGCATTTGAATGTGGAAGCAGATGCTTATGTTGGAAGTAGAGCTCTTCCGACGGTTCTCAATTTCACACTCAGTATGGTGGAGGTAACATCATTTTAACTGATGAATTGTTGAATTAAAATCTTACAAGATTTTATGTTAATTCTTTCTTTTGCTGATGGATTTGGTTTTGATTTCCAAAGGGTTTGTTGGGTTGCCTTCATATGTTTTCCAGTAGAAAGAAGCAGTTTAAAATCCTTCATAATATCAGTGGAATCGTCAAGCCTGGAAGGTAGGAAGAGCAAATAAAAAGTTCCAAGCTTTCTCGTTATTTGTTATTTATTATTTTAGCCGTTTGATAATTTGATTTTATAATATCTACTAAAACTAAGTTTTTTTTGTTTACTTTTTAAAAGCACGTTTGAGGAATCAAAAACAGGTTTTTCGGAAACTAGTTTTTTGGGCTATGATTTAAAAAATAATTTTGAAACTAGATCAGTAAAAGAGAAAAAGTTGATAAATAAACACAATTTTTTGAAATTGAAAATAAAATGTAAAAATATTACTCTCAGTAACTTTTGTTTACTGCGTTTGTTTTTGAGAGAGAAGGAAAAAAAAAAAAAGTTAAAAACTAAAGGGTAAGATTCAAGAAATTGAAGTAAAAGGAAACAAACTTAATTATAAATTTTCAGTTGATGATTCTTCTCTAGGAATAAAAACATTATTATTTACTTTTTAGAAAATTTTATGATATTTTTTTAGCAATATAAATGTTTGGTAAATTTTTTTTTGATGTCGAGATCTCTTTAATTCTTTTGGCAGAATGACACTGCTGTTGGGTCCTCCAAGCTCTGGAAAAACCACTCTCTTATTAGCACTTGCAGGAAAGCTTGATCCTCATCTAAAAGTATATATACCCACATCACTTTTCAATTCCTTGATAATTTTTCATGATTATTTTACTTTGGTTCCTAAACTTTAGAATATTTTTCTTTAGTCCTTGAACTTTGGATAAGAAACTATTTTAGTTTAAAACTATTTTAGTTTTTACTAATGTTTATTAGAACAGGTATAGATTCTTGTTAAATAGTTAATAGAGAATTAACGATAAAGGGTTAAAATTATTTGTCCAAAATTTTATTGTCTGATCTGAAATACATATTGCATTTAGGCATCTGGAAGGGTGAGTTACAATGGCCATGACATGAATGAGTTTGTACCTCAGAGGAGTGCTGCCTACATTAGTCAATATGATCTTCATATTGGAGAAATGACTGTTAGGGAAACTCTAGCTTTCGCTGCACGATGTCAGGGCGTCGGCTCGCGCTATGGTTAGCTTAAGAATGACATACATTCACGTATTGGTTTTGGTTCATATTCTCTAGCTTGTTCAAGTTTTTTAGCTTCTAAAATGGCATACTTTTGCAGACATGCTAGCAGAACTCTCAAGAAGAGAGTTTGCAGCCAATATAAAGCCCGATCCTAATATCGATACCTTCATGAAGGTAATACATGATTAGTTTGAATCAAATAAGTTTTCCTTATTCTTGTAAGGCTAAATATTTTTTTTAATCCTTAATGTTTGGGTGTTTTTCAATTTAGGCCCTTAGAAGTTTGGGGTGTAACTAGAAACTTTCCTCTCTTGGTTTAATTCTCCCTCTAAATATTTCTCACTCACTGAGTATTATGCCATTAAGTTTATTCATCAGCCAATTTTAATATTCACCGAAAAAAAAAAGTATAATTGAAAAACATCAAAATGCAAGGAACTAAATTGAAACAATTTAAATTATAGGGACTAAATTATATATAAAAAATAATACTCAAACATTAGGTACTAAAATGCATATTTTTCCATCTCATTAGTTATACCCTACCATAGAAAGAAAAATTGCTGGAGTTGAGTTCATGAACAACAGAATTACTATACCAAAAGTTAGAGTCAAAATAGACAAAAAAAGGATGCATTTTCTCTGGCTAATTGATTGAAGGTATCAGTGACAGTTTTTTACTTAAGTGTCCCATTTTCTTTGGTTTTTAATGTCTAGGCAGCTGCAACAGAAGGCCAAGAGGAAAATGTGGTGACAGATTATATCTTGAAGGTAACATACTAACCAATAGACTACTTTAAATTCTTCTGATTTCTAATTGTTAAATGACCGAAGCTTAATCTGTTGGGTTAGGCAAATTTAACCTTTTATAAATACCTTAGCGCTAACTACGTTAAAATCATATAGATTTTGGGATTGGAAGCGTGTGCTGATGCAATGGTTGGGGATGAAATGATAAGGGGTATCTCTGGAGGAGAAAGGAAGAGAGTTACTACAGGTATAGTTTTTACAAACCACCACTGAAGCTATTTTTTTCTCTTTCACCGATCACATTGGATAACTAAAGCTTCCATTAAATTGGAGTACAGGTGAAATGTTAGTCGGCCCGGCGAGGGCGCTGTTCATGGACGAAATTTCAACGGGTTTGGATAGCTCCACAACTTTTCAGATTGTGAATTCTTTGAAGCAATGTGTTCACATTCTTAAAGCAACTGCGGTCATTTCACTTCTCCAGCCAGCACCAGAGACTTATGACCTTTTTGATGACATTATTCTCCTATCTGATGGTCGAATTGTTTATCAGGGTCCTCGTGATGAGGTGCTTGAGTTTTTTGAATCTATGGGATTTGTATGTCCAGAGAGAAAGGGAGTGGCTGATTTTCTTCAAGAGGCATGTTTAGACTGCCTACTTTTACATGTATTCTAACCTCTAAGCTTAAGCACATGGTTTTTTACCAAGTATAACCTTTTATAGGTGACATCAAGGAAAGATCAAGAGCAGTACTGGAAGAACAAAGATGAGCCTTACAGCTTCATTACCGCCCAAGAATTTTCTCAAGCGTTTCATTCGTTCCATGTTGGCCAAAAGCTCGGAGACAAACTTGCCATGTCTTTTGATAAGTCTAAGAGCCACAAAGCAGCTTTGACGATGCAACGGTATGGCGTCGGAAAGAGAGAATTGTTAAAAGCTTGTTTCTCTAGAGAGATTCTCCTTATGAAGAGGAATTCATTCGTCTACATCTTCAAACTCTTTCAGGTAGGTGTTAAATATTCATTTTGTTTCTAGAGTATCTGGTTAAAGTATGAATAAAGAATTAAATTTACCGTAATCCATTAGCTTAAACTTTTGAGTTTAGTAGTGATTAAACATGGTATGAGAATAGGATCTCCAGTCTTAAGTTTTTGATTTGACGGTCATTTAACATATCATGTTAAACTGTAACTAACACAATTACGTTTTGGGGCTTTTCAGCTAATGGTTATGGCTTTAATTACAATGAGCGTATTCCTAAGAACTGAGATGCACCGCGATTCTATTGTCGATGGAGGAATATATGCTGGTGCTTTGTTCTTCACAGTTATTATGGTTATGTTTAATGGATTGTCAGAGCTCTCGATGACCACAGTTAAGCTTCCCAATTTCTACAAGCAAAGGGACCTCCTATTCTATCCTCCATGGTCTTATTCTATTCCCAATTGGATCCTCAAGATTCCTATTACTTTTGTAGAAGTTGCCCTGTGGGTTGCCATCACCTACTATGGTATTGGCTTTGATCCAAATATTGAAAGGCAAGCAAAAAAAAGTACTCTGTTCATGTTCATTCGGTTCCTATCATTTGATGTGCTTGTGAAGGTTTCTCTCCCCTTGTTTTTTTAAAAATCTTTTATTATTTTATTTTTATTTTGATGTAAATGTGAATTGGAAACACAAATGCTGCAGGTTTTTCAAACAATTCTTGGTGCTTCTACTAGTAAACCAGATGGCTTCTGCACTTTTTCGATTCATTGCTGCATTATGTAGAAACATGGTTGTTGCAAACACGGTCGGTTCTTTTGCACTTCTGACCCTCTATGCACTTGGCGGGTTTGTCCTGTCTAGAGGTATGACATGGTTGCCAAGATTAAATGAGATGGTTAAATTATTAGTTTGGTTCTTAAACATTATGGATTGTGTCGGCTCCTAAACTTTAAAAAGTATCTAATAAGTCCCTAAATACCCTCGCAATTAACGCTTTTATCTTATTTCCTTGATGTATGTAGACGACATTAAGAAATGGTGGACGTGGGGCTACTGGATTTCACCAATAATGTATGCCCAGAATGCTGTAGTTGCAAATGAGTTCCTTGGAAAGAGTTGGGCACATGTAGGTTCTTGAATTCTCTTCTTGAATAATTTGTTACTTCTTTCTTAAAATACCGTTGTTTTTCTATTCAGAAAATTCTCTCAAAGGAAACTCTAGGAATCAGGGTTTTGAAGTCCCGAGCATTCTTCCCGAATGCATACTGGTATTGGATTGGTGCAGGAGCTTTGCTTGGTTATGTATTTTTGTTCAACTTCCTTTTCACTTTGGCGCTGGCGTTCCTCAACCGTAATTATCTTGACCTTATCTGACTTCTTAAAACATACCTGAACAAGAAAGAACTTTGGATCAACCATCTTACTTTTGATTGTGTAGCATTTGGGAAGGCTCATGCTGTTAAATCAGGGGAACCAGAAAGCAGTGACAATGGTGACAAAAGAGGTATATCAAGTTGTAACTTGATAACTTAGAAAGTGTCAAAAAGAATATGAATAAATTATTAAACTTAACCTTTTGAGTTTACTGCTATGTGTCCGAACCGTTGTATTGTAATGTTTTTTTCTCCCCATTTAATTTTGATAGTAATTTGTTGGGCATGTGACGATGATAATGCTAGGAGAAATATGATTTCAGGGGCTTTGGATTCAAGTACAGAAACTAATTTCCAAGCCAATGCCAAAAAGAGAACAGGAATGATTCTTCCATTTGAGCAACATTCAATTGCCTTTGAAGATATCACGTACTCTGTTGACATTCCGCAGGTAGTTTGAGTCCAAATGAGACTGTTCTGACTAGTGAAATGTGGTTGATATCTAAAACTTAGAAATGTGTGGATCATATGGTATTTGTTTTTAATCCTAATCATCTGAGATGGGCTTCCTCCAGGAGATGAAAAATCAAGGTTTTCTTGATCATAAGTTGGTGCTACTGAAGGGTATAAGTGGCGTTTTCAGGCCTGGTGTTTTAACAGCTCTTATGGRAGTGAGTGGTGCTGGTAAAACGACACTAATGGATGTGCTTGCCGGTAGAAAAACAGGTGGTTACATTGAAGGAAACATCAAAATATCCGGTTATCCAAAGAAGCAAGAAACATTTGCCAGAATCTCGGGTTACTGCGAGCAAAACGACATCCACTCTCCTCATGTTACTGTGTACGAGTCCTTGCTCTACTCAGCATGGCTTCGTTTGCCTCGTGAAGTCGATTCCAAAACTAGAAAGGTAAACTAAGGCAAATACTAATCTATCAAGGTTAATGTTGTAACAAGTCTTGTAGACTAGTAATAATGATCATGATGAATGGGAAGTGCAAACAGTTACGTTAAAGGTCTAGTTTTTCTTTGAACTTTTAGTACTTGTATTGGTGTTATGGTTGACAATTTGATTGCAATGAATGATAACAGATGTTCATTGAAGAAGTGATGGAAGTCGTGGAATTGAAGACATTGAGGCATGCTCTAGTTGGGTTGCCTGGTGAAAATGGTCTCTCAACCGAGCAACGCAAGAGATTAACGATAGCAGTGGAGCTCGTAGCAAATCCATCCATAATATTCATGGATGAGCCAACCTCAGGGCTAGATGCTAGAGCTGCAGCAATCATCATGCGAACAGTTAGAAACACCGTGGATACTGGAAGAACTGTAGTCTGCACCATTCACCAACCGAGCATTGATATCTTCGAAGCTTTCGACGAGGTAAGAAACACCAAGAAATGGACACTAACGGCCTGTTTGGAAGAAACAATAAATAGGAACGTAATCAAACAGGCCCTACTAAATGAATTTCTATAACAACAGAACAGAAAGAGTATGATATATTAAAACCTTGGAATGTTGCTTTGCTTGTAGCTCTTCTTGATGAAGCCAGGAGGCCAAGAAATCTACGTCGGTCCATTGGGTCACCATTCTTTTCATCTAATAAAGTACTTTGAGGTAGGAATGGGATGATTAAGTGTCAATGCAACAAGTCTACGAGAGTTAACATCCATATAATTTAATTAAACTAATGCAATATCTTTGTTCTTCAGGAAATTAAAGGAGTTGATAAAATAAAGGACTGCTACAACCCAGCCACATGGATGTTGGAAGTAACTTCCCCAACACAGGAATCAGCATTGGGGGTTGACTTCACTGATTTGTACAAAAATTCAGAACTATATAGGTAACTCAATTATACCATATAGTATCACGCTTAAGAAATTAATTGTTGAAAAAATGCAACCTTGTTATGAATGTTTTTGAAAATGTCGAACAGGAGAAACAAGATGCTTATCAATGAATTGAGTAGCCCAACTCCGGGTTCGAAAGACCTATACTTCACAATGCAGTACTCGAGATCACTTTACACACAATGCGTGGCTTGTTTATGGAAACAACATTGGTCTAACTGGCGCAATCCTTCATACTCTGCGGTGAGATTACTCTTTACTGTCGTCATTGCGCTTATGCTTGGCACGATGTTTTGGGATCTTGGTACCAAAAGGTAAGCACGATATTCTAACTTTCACGCATTTTTTTAGTCTCGGTACTTTAAAAAGTTTCATATATTTTTACTTGTCCAATGAAGGAAAAGACAACAAGATCTATTCAATTCTATGGGTTCGATGTACACTGCTAATCTCTTCTTGGGAGTCCAAAATGCTTTCTCTGTGCAACCGGTGGTCGCTGTAGAACGAACTGTCTTTTATCGCGAAAGAGCTGCTAGGATGTACTCGGTTATACCATATGCATTTTCAATGGTAATAATGCTGTTCCATGTCAGAATCTTTATCCATGTCTAACATGWGAAATATGTTTAGCCATTGAAATAATAATCCCATCTCATCTTTCAGGTGCTGATTGAACTCCCATATGTTCTGGTTCAAGCAGTGGTTTACACTCTCATAGTGTACTCGATGATCGGATTCGAGTGGACCGTGGCTAAATTCATGTGGTATCTCTTCATCATGTACTTCACTTTGCTATACTTCACATTCTATGGGATGGCAGTCGCAATGACACCAAATCATCACATTGCTTCCATTCTCTCATTTGCATTCTTTGCATTGTGGAACCTCTTTTCTGGATTTGTCGTCCCAAAATCCGTAAGTTTCGATTCTTATAGGTCAATTTCTATTGCATTTAATAGATAAGTAGACCGCACTAATATTTAAACCATGTTTTTTTTTTTGGCATCCAAACTGACAGAGGATTCCAATTTGGTGGGTATGGTACTACTGGATTTGCCCTGTGGGTTGGACCTTATATGGATTGGTTGCCTCTCAATTTGGAGATGTGAAAGATGTGCTGCTTGATGTTGATCAAACTGTGGAACAATTTGTGAGACACTACTTTGGTTTCAGACATGATTTTCTGGGAGTTTCTGCTTCTGTGGTTGTTGGATTTGCTCTTCTTTTTGCTTCCATATTTGCCATCTCTTTAAAAAATTTAAATTTCCAAAGAAGATGATAGTTAATATTATTATTATTATTATTATTTATTTATGGGGAGATTGTATAGTGTTCTATGAGTAAAAGTACTTGGAGGGAGTTCATTGTAAAAGTTGTTGATATTAATTGCTTTTCTTTGTAATGTGCTTGTAGAGAGTCAAAGGAAAGGGAAAATTATAAATATATGAATAATCTTTGTATTTTATGTTCATCAAAATTAATCAAAGGGTTGGGAAAATTATAAATATATGAACAATATTTTTATTGTAATTTTTTTAGAAACTTTGTTTACATATTAAAATAAGTCAGAACAATAGACCAACCTCCTTAAATAAAACCCACCAAATTTTATGGATACCCTAAAATCTCACAAAACAAATATTCTCATTGCCAGAAAAATACTAACTACAATGGTTATGATCCATTCATGATGTTGAGGGGTTAAATGACCATGTTTTTAAAATCTAAACAAGCACATTTCCAATTAGGTATACATATTTTGGAAAATATTTGACTCCTCAACGAGAGATTGTTCTCCTAACTATTAAAGGTTTGATAATTACGATAGAGAAATACAAAAATATAATTTTTTTTAATACAACATGTGGGGATAAGTATATGTCAATTACAGTTTTTTGACAAAAATATATTTTTTTAAATAATAATAAATTGTCAAATATTTAGCGGTGAGATGTACAAGGGTCTCACAAGGATGAGTTAATGAGTTATGGTGGAATAAGACGGAATACATTTTCCTTTTTTAAGTGTAGAAAATGGTAACTCAAATAAAATTTTGTGAGTGCAAATTCATTAATATATTTATTATTTTCTATGTTTAGAATCCATCAACAAACAAATCTACAAATATAGATGGAAAGAAACTCTTCTACCTTACTATTAAGTTTTCCTATATAAATACATTGGTTCACACAAATTAATAAATCAAATTAATAAACCAAACATATAATTTGTAAATTCAACCTGAACCCAATGTAGTTGCACAAAATGCTGGAATCCAACCACGAACTGACAATCAAGTCTACCAGAATGAAATGCAAACTCRAGAGAGCATAATCTAATATATTAATTTATCCTTGTCGACTACTTCTTTTTATTTTTAGTATTATTAATTTTTTATAATTTGATTCATTTTGATCGGGTTCATTTTGATGTTTTAACAAATTGAGCTGTACTCAAATTGACGGAATAGAATAATTTGTATTGTATAAAAAATTTATATAAATTAAAAGTTTGCAAATACATTCTAAAATTGCTCCGTCTTTTAAAATGAAGAGATCAAGATAATACTAAAACCTTTATCACATTAGACCACTTTCATTTATCGTTTTGTTAGCCATAGTTGGATACGAAACTTCAATAGGATTATTATTGAAGGGAAAAACAAGACAAATGATAACAAGAAACTACCGAGATACTTTATTTCTCTTCTTTTATCAAAACCTATATCTACTGAAATTTTAGTGAAAACATTATTTTGACCTTTTTATCGTGAAAGTGTAAAGTCAAACCTAATTTTTTAGTTAAAGAATATGTCTTTTTTTTTTAAAGGATAAAAAATATATGTCTTAACTAGACGAGGTTAACCTATTTTATTTGAACGTCTTAATAATTTTTGTCATCTGCAAAACAATTTAATTTATCCATATATTTTTTGAGAGGATAATATATATATATATTTTTTATAGGGATGGCCGAGGTTGTAACACTTGATGAATTAAATCTAATAGTTGACTTTTTATATTATATAATTATGTTGATATTAAAAATAAGTAGATGAACGAAAATTAGATTGGTACAATTTTAATCGGCGCTCCTTAAAATCTGCTATAGATATCATCTAAAATAATAAAAGAAGATGTACATGAATTTAAAATAAATACCAACCAACCACCTATGTCAAAATTATAAAAAAAAATAAATAAATAAATAAAAAAGAAAGACTAACCACCGAATGAGAATTAAAGTCAAGAAATTAATAATATCCATCTTAAAATATGGTTAGCACCTTCGATTTAAGCATATAAAAGTTTATTATAAAGTATCAAACTGAACTGAAATTTACATTTGGTATTTTGGYATACTTATTATAAAGCTACAACTTTGCTAATGTTATGAACTCCATACACTATTCTTTCTAATTCATTAACTTTGAAGGGTACAATCTGAATATAGCCTTCTCAACTCCAAAATTTTACAAACTTTACACATTAAAAATATGAGCCAAACATATTATTAGTATGGGTTTGATATGCATTTTAAAAATGTTTATAGTTTGGAAAATTCTAAAAATAGATAAAAAAAAAGACACTTAAAATGCTTTTAAATGTGACATTTAATTAGTATTAGCTCCTTGCTTTCTGATGTGGTTGCTTTCTGATGTGGTATGTTTTTGTTGGCTCAAAAATTTTAATAAAAATATAGAAAATTGTGGTAGGTAGTAAAAATCTTTTATGTATATTTCCAAATATGTCACCTATTTTTTAAATTTTCAAATATAGCAAAAATTTTCACTTATATCAGATAATCATATCAGTAGTATATCATATACTCATATTAATAGTATATTAGATGTATATCGCATACATATTGTCCAAACACTCATATCAGTAAATCAGATGTATATCACATACATATATTTGTAAGTATATCAACCACTCATATCAGTAGTATATCAGATGTATATCACATACATATATTAGTGGTCAGATATATTACAGATATATAACAGATGTATATCATGTGGGTAAAGTTGTCATTTTAAAATTGGACCTCCGTTTTTTCTAAATGTTATATTTGAAAAAACTAAATGGGGTTACTATTTTACTAATTTTACTAAATGTTTTTGTCATATTTGCAACGGCTCTTGAAAATATATCAATAGGTTATATCTCTAAAGACTGGGTTCCATTTTCGGACCAGATGCTCGAAATCTTTTTAGCCTGATACCATATCAATATTCACGAGATTCCATCTAAAAACCAATAAAGAGTAGCTCGTGTTTATTATAAACATTTATTAGGTCATTTATATTTTCAACGTAAAATTCTTAACAAAATACATCACGTCAAAAGTATGAGTTACTATTGACTAATATGTACACAAATGTTGCCTTTCAAAAGTGCTTTACAAAATAAATAATTTACTTAAAAATATTTTTTTTATTAAAGAAGTATGTGTGAAAAACTCACCCTCATTTTTTTTTATTTCACTCGCCCATACAACGTACTCAATAAGGTAGTGTCTATTACCATCTCAAAAGTCGATGCCCTTCGTCCTACTATTATCAAATTTAAAAAAAAAAATTCACTCAGGATATTCCTTTGACAAAACTCCAAATCTATCACAAAACATACAGCCAAAAATTTCCCCAAGATAGGTTTCATCGAAAACTTATTAATTATTAACCCAATTTTCAATCCCTTCAAATCCCCACCACATCTGTTTCATCATTTGCCCCTTTGCAAACTAAAATTAAAGTTATAAATGGCTCAAATATGCAGAGATAAAGAGCTCACACCCCGAAATAATAATATTTTGCTAAGCCAAAGCCATGGAGTTTGAATATTCTTTGGCAAAGGCCAAGCTTCCAGTTATCAACTTGTCCATTGAAAATGTAAGCCCTGAAAGCACCAACTGGCTAGAAATATGCAGCCATTTGAGGGCTGCTCTTGAAGAATATGGATGTTTTTTGGGTGAATTTGGGAGTGCCACACCAGAGCTTGATGATGAAATCTTCAAGGGTTTGGAAGAGCTTTTTGATTTGCCCTTAGAAACTAAAATGAAAAATGTGTCTGATAAGCCTTACCATGGATTTTTGGACCATAGGACTCCTTTCGTTCTGCCTCTCCATCAAAGCTTTGGGATTGAAAATTCAGAAAGTTTTGAAGCTGTACAGTCTTTTGTGAACCTCATGTGGCCATCTGGAAATCGTCGTTTCTGGTAATGTACTTTTTCTACGTGCACTTTTGAAAGAATTACTAATTTAAGGTCCGTTTGGTAATRTTCCCGTTTCTTGTTTCTTGTTTTTTGTTCATGTTTCTTATTTTTTTTTAGAAATAAACATGTCTGAGCCAGTTTGGTATGTAACGTTCTGTTTCTTCATTTTTAATAAAGAAAAATGAATTGCGTGCCCCAATGAAATCAAATATGATAAAACTAATATTAAGATTTGTGTTTTGGAACAAGCTTATTTTAGTCGTTTCTAAAATTTCTTTGCAATTTTTGCGAATGTTCTAAAAAAGGATAAACAAGAAATATAATTAGTTGCAAAATGCTTATATTTCTTAAGAAAATTAAAAACGAGAGAAACGAGAAATGAGAACATTACTAGAAATGCAAACGCTATTGRATGTTGTTAATTATTTCTTCTCATGACAAGTTTTGAAATTGAAAGAAAGAAAACAGAAATGGTTAATGTCTTTGAAGGATTTCTCACCCTGTGGTGTTTTTTTCTTGACAGTGAAAATGTGTTTTCATACACAAAGATGGTATCAGAGATGGAGAAACTAGTAAAAGTGATGGTTTTTGAGAGCTATGGAGTGAAAAAATACTATGATTCTCACATTGCTTCAACCACTTACCTCTTAAGAACCATGAAATATAGAATCCCAGAGATGGGTGAGGAGAATATTGGAGCAGATGCTCACACAGACAAGAGTTTCTTCACCATTCTTCATCAAAATGAAGTCAATGGCTTGGAAATCAAAACAAAAGATGGCCATTGGCTTGGAGTTGAATTCACTCCAAATTCCTTCTTGGTCATGGCTGGAGATGCTTGTTTGGTATACTTCTTAATTAATTGTGTTTTCTTAGAATATCATATCACACTAATACATCATTAGAGTGTGGTTTGAACGCGTAACTTATTGAAAGAAATAGCRATATCTTAGCTACGTTCAAATATATCTTTTTATAGATTCGAAATCCTATTTTGATATTAATTATGTTTTAGTATACTTGAAAGTTTTAAGAGGCTCTATTTTAATATGCAAACCCCCCTAAGTATTTGTGATCCTTAGATTTTAGTAGTTGTTAATTAAGAGTGCGTAGGTTTGGTTATTGATGATTYGAAAACAAAGAATTTCAATGAAAACCATAATTGTATTTTATTTGTTTTTGTGTGTTTAGCCCTATATTTTAGTTACCAACTAAATATTTAGTTTAATTTAAAATAATATTAATTAATTTATTAACATTTTTGTTTTTTATATAATTATTATTTTACAATGCTATATAATTTATAATATATTATATTCCAYAAGTTTTAAAAAATAAAATGAGTTTATAATATGAAATAATATATTTATTAAAGTTTTTGTCATTTTCTTATATGTAATTCTCCATTTCAAAATTTTAAATTTACAATATTGAAATATTGAAAACACAAAAAATAATCTTCCAGAATTTTCACTATTTTATATAAGAGAATAAGTTGCCAACAAAACACATCCTAAGTCACTTGTTTTTCAATAAATAGAATCCAGATAGCCAACCAAGTACATCCCAAGTCACTTGTTTTTCAACATAAAACAAAATATATATATATATATTATTTTCTTAATTTTCCATATAAGTGATGTACACATCCATATTCATCGTCATATTCATGTCATAAAATTATTAATTAATTGTTAGTGCGTGGTGCACATTATAAGAAAGTCCTATAATCAGCATCCTTTCCATTTTCACTCCTTCAAACCTCCCTATCAACCGTGGAATAAGTAACCTCAATTAGTTTCCCTTTTTCCTAACAATAAAACCGAATGGCATATTTTTTGTTTTCATTATTTCTTGATTCAAAATTCTTATAGTATTAAAACAAATAATGTTATTATTATTGCATGGATAGGCATGGAGCAATGGGAGAATCCACTCAGCCACCCATCGAGTTATGATTGAGGGAACTAAAGAGAGATATTCGACTGCCCTATTTTCATACCACAAAGGAATTATTGAAATTCCATATGAGTTGGTGGATGAGAAACATCCCTTAAGATTTCATCCATTTAACCATTATGGATTACTTGCTTATTTTTCCACACATGACTCTCATAAAATGCCTTCCACTGCCAAAGCTTATTGTGGAGTTTGATATTATTTTGTATTATATGCCCATGTGTCCTTTTGACTTTGGCGATGGTACAGTCGCGAGAGCTTTTGAGTCTTGTAGTATTATCTACCAGTCTTAAATTTAAGTCCCGTGCTAGTCACTATGTTTGTTCAGTCCAAGCAACAACCTCCATTATAGGGATTCACAGCACGATTATGAGAATTTAAAAAAAAAAGTTTATATTTYCGATAGATAAGATCTTTATATTTTAATGTTCATCGACTAAAGCTTTGAGTTTTTTTGTTTTTTACAAATTTACTTGTAAGCGTTCACATTGGATCGAACAAAAAAAAAATGAGCCTAGCGCTACATTACATCTTCAAGGAGTCAAAAGATGGTGTTTTCAAAATCTAAATTGGAGTGGACGATAAAGACCCTTACAGAACTGTAGAAGATGTAGCATTTTTTGTGACAAGATTTTTTTTCAATTAGGTGTTGTGTTTAACAACTGTTGCGCATGTATCATGGAGGCACTAACTTTGAAAGAATATCAGTAGGTCCATTCATCACTACATCTTAGGGTTTCAATGCCCCACTTCAGGAACTACATCTCAGAAAAGAAGAAATTTTACAACCCCATGTTCCAAAAAAAAAAAACAAAAACAAAAACAAAATGGATAGCTTTAAGTCAAAGATCTATTGGAAGGCTGGTGACTTGGTACAAAACTAAGCTTTAAGACCCCTTCAGGAACTGAACCCCGCAGTGTTGGACATACAAGGAATGGGAAAATGCCAAAGTTTGGGTAAATGGGGTAAGCATAGGTCGATTTTGGCCTTCGTTCATTGCTGGCAATGATAGTTGGCATTGTAACTTGTGACTACAGAGGTGCATATGACCCTAAAAAATGTGTTGGAAATGGCGGGAATCCTTCTCAAAGATGATATCATGTTCCAAGATCATTTCTCTCAAYGAACACGTTGATCTTATTTGAAGAAATCGGTGGAAATCCTCACATGTAGAGGTGGGGGTTCGAACTCATGATCTCTTCGTTACTAATAAATGCCTTAACCACTTGAACTATGCTCGATTTAGCGACCATGTTGGCACCATTGCTCCATCTWCGTGGTTAGATTCTTTTTATTTTCGACTTTGGTTCTATCATTATGGTTATTGCAAACATTCATGAGCACATTAATTTTCAAGAAAAAACCATACCAAACCAAACAAAAAATCAAATTCTAGGCATGTTATTATAACCATTTCGTTTTATTTTTTAGTTTTTGATTTTTGAGAAATTGATAACCAATTCAAATTTTTATTAAATGTTTTTGAAATTATAAATAAATTAAAAAAAAAGTTTTTAAAAACATATATCTACAAAATCTCGTTTACTTTCTTCTAATGTTTTTAACTTTTTTTTTCCTTTTATACGTATTTCTCCCTAACAAATATCTTTCTCATTTTAAAACTTATTTCCCTTCTAAATTTTTCACTCTAAAATTTTCATCTCTCAAATATTTACTATTATTTATCTCTCCAAAATTTTCATCTCTATATATTTCTTTGTATTTCTATTTCATTTCCCACCATGTCCTGATCCCGTCTTAGATTTCATTCTTAAATAACCAAAATTTATTTTACTACCCGTTTTATTAAATTATGAATAAAATAATAAATACTTTTTAAAACTAATTATTCATACYGGTAAATAACCATTTTCAGTAAAATAGATATAAATTATATAAATTAATTTATTTTTTATTTTTTAAATTCTAAAAAAACTAAAATTAATTGTAAAATACATTTTTAGTAGCGAGATTTAGACGGATTAATTCGGTCCCTAGTTTCAGAATACAACTTTTTAWTCCCTAACGTTTTGAAAATCGTTATAATGGGTCCTTAGGGAATTGTCATTAGTATTTTAAACAGAAATCTGATGTGTGACAATTTTATGTATATCTATATTACAAATTTTTAAATTTTAAATTATTTTTTATTGCTGACATGAAAAMGAAAACATTATCTTTCTCTGATAACCTATCAATACATTGAAGGTATATTATTTTTACAATATTCTTGGTCGGGTCTTAKTTTTAGATTAATTGCTTGTCTGAACTTACTGTGCTATGATATCATTATAATAATCTCTTAAGAAAATAAGAGAGTTCTCCTCACYAATGAAAGAAGAATTTACGGGCCTATTTAAAGGCCCAAAAATAAAGAAYGGAAAGGAATTGAAGTTACAGCTAGATATAACCGAAGATAACAATATTACTAACTAATTATCGATTAGTTATTAATCATATTAATATTCATCGGATTCCATCTCGAAACCAACTCGTAACAGGAGTAGTCCACTTGCATTATCAACTTTTGTTAAATTTCTTATMTTTTCAGCGTAGAATTAATTAATCCTTAACACAGCTCGCTTATCCAATTGAACTGAGACTGAGGAGAATTCGTTAATATCCAAACCGAGTCCATGGAGTATGGGAAGAGAGCATAATTATCTGGGAAGCTTCGGATGGATGAAGGAGAAAGAATGGAGGAGAACGGGAGGGGGAGAAGAAAGAAGGTTGGGAGAGAAAAAAAATTATATGTTAGTTTGAATAACTTTTTCCATGTCAGAAATAAAAATGGCCAAATATACATGTCAAATTGCCACGTCATAAATTGTTAAAAATTCCAACAACAGTTTAAACTTCAGTAACTATTTATAAMTATTTTCAAAATTTAAGAACTAAACTATCATATATTTTGAAATATAAAGTCCAAATAGAATCCTAACTATAATTTATTTTTTCTAATTAAATAAAGGAAAAAAAAGTCATATATATATATATATATGATGACACACTAATGTTTTTTTTTTTCTTTTTACAACAAGGGTGGAAGATTAAAACCGGTGACCTTTCGGTTAGAGATAAGCGTCAATTACCGATAAGCTAGGTTCATATTAGAAATAAAAAAAAACAAAATTTAAAAGAATAATAATCTGAACGATGATATGATCACTAAAAAGTTTGATTTTAAAAAAATAGGAAACTATTTTTAGGAAGCAGAGGTCCATTAAAGAGAGGAGCATATAGTTTGTAGAGAGAGGCTAAGAGCAGCAGCAGATGCCATCCACACAACACTCACAAGTCTCGTAGCAGCAACAGCAGCAACATAGTGTAAACAAACTGTCAACAAAAATAAGAGAATTAGAAAAAAGAGTAATCAAAAGGTTTTCTAATTAGACAAATCAAAATGAAACTTTGAGAGTATTGACATGGTTTATGAGACTAATTCATTATTCGAAAGTACTTCTAGAGTTAATTTTTTTTGTTAAATAATACTAATAGAAAAAGGTGGTAGGATGAGAATACAAACTGATCRACTCATCAAGAGAAATATGAGACGTGTCTTTGACTGCATGCAATTTGGTTTRTAACGCGGTGAATGTTAAGGATCGTAAGATAAAAGACCTAATAAGAATTTATAATATAAGTGGATTGCTCATTTCATTACCAATTGGTTTTGAGATAAAACTCATGACTATTGATATGATATCAGAGCCTAGAAAAGCTCAAACGAGCATCCGATTCAAAAATAGAATTGGAGCAAGATCGATGAGCCAAAAGAGTCATGATCTTGAGGGGGCATGTTAAGGATTCCACGTTGATAAGATAAGGGATCGTCTAACAAGAATTTATAATATAAGTGGACTGCTCATCTCATCGCCAATTGATTTTAAGATAGAATTTCATGAATATTGATATTGAAAGATGGTGGGGATTCGAACTCACGATCTTTCGATCAGAGATGGATGTCTTGATCAGTTAGTTATATTCAACGAAAATGGCAGCGTAGTTGCATACAAAGGTTAAAATATATGAGTTAATTTTTTTTCTCTCTCAATTRATCCTGAATGAAAAATAACTTTAGGTTTTTAACATTATCTAATGAGAAAATGYTACTGGAAATATAATTTTTGGAAGTAATTAGAGAAAAGCTTGTCCCAAATGCTTCAAAATTTTGGTTTCATCTTTTAATGTTTCAAATTAACAATTATGTCAAATTAATTGACACCATTACATTTAAAAATAGTTTTTTCTATGTGCCAATACTTCTCAAGGTTTTCCTTTCAAAAAAAAAGGAAGGAAGAAAAAAAGAACTTTTTAAGGTTTTAAATATTCACTCTCGCTGTCTGTTATTCAAACCCCAAGGTATCAAATTAAATATTTTATATCTGGCCTTACTCATTTTTTTTCCTTTAACAAAACTTGTTAGTGGTAATATATACAAAATTAAATGTTACTCACCGACACATATATGCTAGAAGAATCAAACAAAACAACATACATATTTTCTTTTGGACATGATGATAGTAAAAATATATATATATCAATCCCAAGTTTTAAAAAAGAAACAGAAATTAAAGGTGAAGAGAAAACATTGGATAAATGAAACCACATACAAAGCATAGAGRCAGCCTTTGTCTTCTCTTCGCTTTTGGACATGATCATAGTACGACATCATCTGTTGTTGAGGTGCAGCTGCTTTTTCTGCCATTGCTAGCTGCAACTATTGATCTCTTCCACTTGCTCTCATTGTTCTGATCTCGTCTTCCTTCGCAGCCAAAAAATGGCTTTTATTTTAGTAGTTATTATCCACATGCTATGGCTGATGGGCCATTTGGCCTTCAATGCCCTCTTTAATGTTCAACCACTAGTTAGTTCAATTAACTATGACCCAACTATATGTTTTCTTTTCACCCTCTCATAAATGTTTGCACCAAAAAGAGAGTTTTCTTATATGGTTCTTTTCTAGGGGTATTCATACAAATCTGATGACTCAAAAAAGGCCGGTGAAACCAAATCCAACCCAATTCATAAGRTTAAGTTGGGTGATAAATGTTGAGGACAACGATATCCCAAGTTTTRCTTTTGGTTTCAAACAAAAGGACCTCATACCAATAGAGATAAACTCTTSGATTGATAATGTTTTATTTATGTCTCATGAATTTGAATAAGATACTAAATAAAGAAATGAGAATATTATCAAGTGGATCTGGGATCTTAAATATGTTGGCCGGGCTCCTTCAATTTCTAGTGGACCACACAAATTCATGTTGCTTCCTTCAAAGGACACCTATCAATGCCCTTGTAAGGTCCCTTTCCTTTTTAATGTRGGTCTTTAACATGTCCCTAAGATCATGGYTCTTTTGACTCATCGATCTTGACCAGATCACATTTRTTGGACTGGATGTTCGTTTGAGCTTTTGGGCTCTGATACCGCATTATTAAGGATGAATAAATTAAACCACCACTCAAAAGCTTAAGTCAATGAATTTGATAAATTTAATTCATATATTGGATTTCTAACACTCCCCCTCACTTGTGGACTTAGATAATTGCACAAATCCTAACAAGTTGAAATCATTATTAAAGTGGGAGGAAGCAACAATGCAAAGGCTCCAACATATGACCTCCTGCTTTGATACCATATTAATGAATTGCTTTGATACCATATTAATATTCATGGTTTCCATCTCAAGACCATTACCAATAAAAGGACTAGCCCACTTATATTATAAACTTTTTTATTGTTCATTTTTTTCTTCAACGTGAGATCCTTAATAATAGTTGTCTTACTGTCAAGTCTATGTGAAAGGTTATCTTGCCGATCATCAAACTGGCAGGGCTGATGCATCCACCGAGTTCTTCGAAAATTTATGGGTTTTAAACGTACCAAAGAAGTGCAAATTTTTTATCTGGTGTTCTTTTCATTGTAGGATAAATACTAGCGAATAAGCTTCAATCAAGACTTCCTGTTAATGCACTAACCCAAACTAGTGTATACTATATGTAAACATTCGAGTGAATCTTGTATGGATCACTTGCTTCTCCACTGTCCATACACTTCTTATATCTACGGTATCAGCTGCTCAATATTTTCAATATCTGTACCTTCCTCCCTGGCCAGATCGAGCTATTTTTTAAAGAAGCCTTTGCATCTCAATCCAACAGCAGTAAAAACATTCTTTGGTGTAATTTCATTGATGCTATTCTGTGGAGTGTATGGCTTGAATGAAATAACCGCCTTTTCTCAGACAGCTACAGATCATCTGTCAACYTTTGGGAAGATATCAAAGTCTCCGTCTCCTCGTAGTCCTCAAAATCTTCCCCATTTTGTAATTATGATATTTCTACTATTTCGCTAAATTGAAACGCTTTCGCTTAGCCTTCTTCTTTCTATGTATACCTCTTCAATGAAATAATTTCTTCTTCTAAAAAAATCAAGTAGATCTGTGATAATGGCTAGCAACAATAATATCACTAAGGCAACCAATCAAATATATATTGACCCAAAATCTTATTAAAACATTGTTGGATTATAGGTAAATATAAAGATTATCATTTTCAATATCACTACTTATATACGTGCATGATTTCTTTATATAATTCCCTTTAAATGAAAAATCATTTTTGTACCATAGGTCTATTACAGCAATCTAATGTCAAAATGAAGGGGTTTTTTTTATATTTTTAGTTTAACMATTTAAAAGTGGTCGAGAATCAAATATTTTAATCTCAAGAAAGACAGGTGTCTGATCCATTAAACTTGGACTCGAATTGCATATATATCATAAAACATGTAAACTTAAGTTGATTTGAAGGTTAGAATCCCTAATTTTTATGCTAACAAGTGTCTATTTCATGGAACGCGTTTGGCTCGAAAGGGACCATCGCTATTTTATGAATAGATCCACACCAACTTTCATCATTCTTTGGGAAGATGTCAAAATCTCTGCGGTATTTTCTTTTGTACAATTGATACTTAATTTCATTGAAAACTTCAAATAACAAGCCTATATTTCATTCCAATATTCATCAAAACCAATACCACTGCTAAAAGGTACTAAATACACATTACAAAGGTAGAATGGTTTGAATAATTAGAGAACATAACCCCTTAATTAGATAGTTTATTTCTGGCAAATGATGAACCAAAAAAAAAATCAATTTAAAACAAGAAAATTAAAAAATTGGATGAAAAGAAAATAATCTAGCTGAGATTCATGAGAATTTGTAATATTCTATGTTCCATAAGCTCCCTTGAAGAAGCTCTCTCTATTGGCTCAATGAGTTCATCTCTGATGATCTCCTGGCTTCTGTTTTCTTCATTATCCTCACTCTCCTGCATGATTCAGTGAACATTCTGCAAATTCATGGTGAAAATTGCTTCACATTAGATCCCAAATTCATCATTAAAATAAATATAATTTCAAATATCAATATATACACAAGAACATGAACTTAATTCTCATTTGGTAATTGATAACGTTTTTATTTCTAATCCTTTTCCTTTTCTTTTGAATTCTTATATCTAAAACTGTTAAAAAATACTCTAATCTAACCGCCCAAACTTTTGAATTTATCATTGAATATTTAACATAATAGAGCACGAGATTTAAAAAAGATCAATTTCTGAAATGTCATTTTGCTTTTTTTACATATTAAGCTTGTTCTCTAACCCTTTTCTTTACTGTGTAATCTGTTTACTACAGCTTTTAGTTAAAGTCTGGCCAAATTTAGAAATCAAACCCCCATTTTGAAAATAATTTCAATTTTAGTTCTTCATCTTTTGAAAAACTTATTAATAAAACCTATAACAAACAAATTAAAGTAAGTTAAATAGTTAAAACATTTCTACTTACTTCCAAGGGACGTCCCCAACCAACATCCAATCTCCATCTCTATCTTCATAAGTAATAGTATATTTAGAGCATCCAATGGAGCAACCAAAGAGCTTCTCCATCGCCCCGCCGAGATCGGCGTACCCCGCCACCGTTACCAAATCAAGTTTCCGAAGAAATGGCACTCCGTCCAAGCTTACTTTCACGTACGACATCTTCGTCGTTGTTTCAGATTCATCCTTCTCCCTAAAACTGTTCCTCCGCCGGTACGAGCGAACCGGTGGCCAACCCACCACCTGGTTCCTCTTCCCGCAGCGTCCTCCGCCACCGTTCTCCTCCTCTTCCATCTCGGAGAAAACCCTTTTCTTCTCCGCCGGAATTGGGCCGCCGCCGGGGAGTCCCAGCCGGAGCTCGGTGATTTCAAGCCCTAATCCCTCAGTTGCCATTGTAGGTCCTTTTTTGTGGATTTTGGTGTTTGGGTTCTGATTTGGTAATGATGATATGTGGAGAAAAATGAGAGGTGATTTATTTATATAATGAGGAATTGGGGAATTGGAGAAGACAGAGAGGAGACAAGAGAAGCAAAAAGTAGGGCCTATTGGTCGGCCGGTACCGGAAGGTGGAGATGTGGGATACATCGGACGGCTGACGATGGTTGTGAGATTTAGGTGGGATTTGATCTCTGCCGTCTGATTGATTGTCTTGCTTTTTGAATGATCCTCCATGTGATTTTGCCTTTGTTGTGTTGGTGCTCTGATTAGGTCTTTGGTACTGTGACACGGTTTACTTTTTTTTTGGTTTTTTTTTTTTTTGTATTCATAATTCATAAACATATCTCTCCTCTTGTTTTTGTTTTGGTTTTCTTTGCATGGAAAATGGACCCTCYTGACAGAGAGGATGAGTTCTCTTGTGCCCAGAATAGGACTTCTATCACATCAAGAAATCGACGTGTCGAAATTTTTACCGAGATTTTTATCTGTCATGATTTGACGAAAATATAAGGTAAATCAACATTTTGAATAGTCTAATGTTCGTCCGAGCTTGTTGAACTTTGATATGATATCAATATTAACGAGTTCTATTTCAAAGTCAGGTATACTATAAATTGACTGAGGATATTTGGATCCGTTAGTAACGTTCTTGTTTCTTGTTTCTATTGCTTTATTTTTAATAAAAAAAAAATGAATTGCATGCCTCCAACGTCCACAAATTTAGGTATGATAAAAATAATTGTGTTTTGGAACAAATTGAAAATGGAACAAGAAAGAASAACTTAATTGTTTTTGTTGTTTCCAAAATTTTTATACAATTTTGATAGAGAAACGAGAAACATAGTTAGTTGCRAAATGTTTAGATTTTTTTTAGAAAAATTAGGAACTAAGGATAAAAAACAGAATATTACCAAATGAGCCATTCACTTCTTATTCATGCAGTTTCCTCTCCAATTAAATTTTTGTTAGTGATTTATCATTGTATAAATAATATATGTATTTTATAATAAATTGTCTTCATTTATTATTGTATATTATATACATGATCACCTAAATCACAAAGGTATCATAGAGATCAGAGAGGCTTAAATTATTAGCTAGCAAGTTTTTTTTTTTTTTTGAGAAAAAAAAATAATAGCAAGTTTAAACGGAAACTGATATCAAAGTTGTTTAATATTACCGGGCCAAAGTTCCTAGAACTGAAGAATCTAAAAATGCCATTTATATATATAATTAGGGTTATTAATCTTAATGCAAATATTCCACAAGCACATGCTAACACATTATAATTAATATCTAAAAATTACAAATGTCGTTGGAAGGAATATCATATAATTAATTACATAGAGAAGATTCTCATGTTGCAAAAAGTGGGTTTTCTTTTTAAGAAGATATTTAATTATCTTTATTGATCCATCAAGATTTCAAATCTAGTTCTAGCATATATCTATTAGAATGAGTTATTTTAATTTCTTTTTTTTTTACCTCTTTAATTCACTGAATTGAAAATAAATTGTCCAAATTTTAAATTGATTAAGCATAGGTTTTAATTAATTTTGAGTAATTTTCTTTTACAAAAATAATAATAGACATCTCCTTGAATCACTACCCTGGATATGAAAGCCATGAATAAGATATGTTTTATGTCTCATCAAGGAGACAGCTGAGATGTAGTCCATTGCTGTAACAAATAGAAAGGGAGATAAAGAATCTTCTTGGCGGATCCCCSAGCAGTAACTTTATTCCTTAGTTTGCCATTCATAGAAGAAATGCAGCCACGAATCCAAGTAATCCATTTTTTGTTAAAGCCTTTGAAAGCAAGGACGTTGAGAAGAAAATTCCAATAGAGTTTGTCAAAAGCTTTCTCTAGATCCAATTTAAGGATTATACCTTTCATCTTAGAGCAGCGCCAAAAATCTATCATCTCATTAGCCATAAGGATTGGATCTATAATTTGATCTTAAAGATGAACAAACAATCATTCAATCCAAAAGTTTAAGTTAAATGAATTTGGGTAAATTAAGCTTAAGTTAATGGGCTTGGGTAAATTTGATTCTTATATTGGATATCTCAACACTCCCCCTCCAACAAGTGAAAATCCTAATAAATGGGGAGGAAACAACAACGCAGGGTTCGATCTAAACAAACGACCATTCAATCTAAGTTAATGGGTTTGGGTAAATTTAATTCATATATTGGATATCTCAACATTTGACGCCGGACAAAAGCCGATTGAGSAAGCGCAATCGTACCGGGCAAAACAGTTTTTAGTCTATCTGAAAGAACCTTAGCCAGAATCTTAAAGATGCTGGTCGTTAAACTGATGCGCCTAAACTCTGTCATGTGTAATGGTCTTGACTTTTTAATAATAAGAGCAATATGAGTTTCATTGAGCACACGATTCACAATTCCCGTTCTGAAAAAATCGTTGAACGACTCCTTGAAATTATCCTTAAAGAATAATTTCCAGTATTTTTTGAAAAATTCACTTACAATTTTTTTTTTTTTTTGGTTGAGAAGGCAAGTTTGAAGAATTGGATGCAAAGAGAGAATCTTTATCATTAATATAGTAGTGAAAATAGTCAAATTAGATCACAAGAACATTAACGTTTCCTCATCAAGTTAGGTTTTTTTTTTAATCAGTGTATATATTATATGTGTATACATTTCCATCAAAGAAACAAAAAAAAAAATTTGTGTAAACTTGATCATCCAATTGAGATCTTCTTCTCCCATCTTTTCACAGTTCCTTGGAAGAACTACTACTTAGGGTTTCTGGGACATGAATCTCAAATCCTTTAGCTTCCGATCTCTTCATTATCCTCAGTCTTTTGCATGATTCAGTAAACATCCTCCATGGTACATCCCCAACGAGCATCCAATCGCCRTCCCGATCTTCGTAGATCGGAACATAATCGGAGCATCCAACACCGCATCCAAAGAGCTTCTCCATCGCCGCGCCGAGATCCGAATATCCCTTGTGCGATCCCAGATCAAGTTTTCTAAGATAAGGTGCGCCATCCATGCTCACTTTCACATACATCTTCTGCGTCTCAAATAGATCCATGTCGTTAACTCTGCTCTTAATTCTCCGGTGGGAGCGGACCGGCGGCCACCCCACAACTTGGTTTTTCCTCGGGTCGCCGCGGTCCGAGCTACTCTTATCTCCATCTCCATTTCCAATCATCTCAGAAAAAACCCTTTTCTTCTCGTTCTTGGTTGCTGAATTTGGGCCACGGCCAGCACTCCCCGGAAGCCCCAATCTGAGCTCAGTGATTTCGAGTTCAAATCCATTGGTTGCCATTTTTTCTCTATCTCTGTGTGTTGTGTGAGTAGTTTTCTTAATGGTCTTAGCAACAAAAATGAGAGCTTTATAAATAGAAGAGAGAGAGGGAATAATAATGGGGGATGATCGGAATTTTTTGGTCGCCGGCCGGTCGGCGACAAGAGAAACAGAAGTGGGGTCTTAATGTTTCATGGGAACAGTTTTTTAAAATTAGATGACAATAATTTTCTAAGGGTGTTGGGTTTGGGTTCTGATTTGGTGGGATTCGCTCACACCCATGTGAATGGCCATATCCTGTCCACTAATTTATGATTCTACTCTTTCAAACCAACTCAACAACAATATGAAATGTTTAATATTTTGTAACTTCTTTTCTTCATCTTTATGTTTTTGCAGACAATATCATTAACTAACTGTGTAGATTTGTATTGGATATTGGTGTACTTTCAACTTCTACACTTGTTTTGTGTCCCTTGTCTTTCAAATTTTGTTTTGGTTAGATTAAAAGGTTTTTTTAGAGGAAACCAAACCATTCATTAGAAAGTATGTGAGAATTATACATTAAAAAAGGAAGGCCTAAAAGAAATTAGTCCTCCAATTTATCGATGAAATATGGCATAGTTACAAAATAAGAGGGATTTGAAAGATCAAGATGAAGCATCCGTTTTGACGACATCGTCCCATAGTTGATATGTGGTTCTATGGATTTTTATAAACAAACGGCTTTTTCTCTCCAACAATACGTCATTAGTTTTTAGTTGAGTGGTTATTAATTTTGACATATATCAAATAAGGATGCTCATACTATATAATAAGAATAATATTTTTTTTTTTTAGGGAGGAACCACTTCATTAAGGTATGTGAGAAACATAATAAAAAAAAAAAAGAGATCTACATGAASGCACTGGAAAGTACATCATAATTACAAAAGAGGGAGATTTTGATGATGAAAGAAGTAGAAATCTTGATATCCTCCCGAAAGATCGATAGTGATTTTATGGAATCTGTCAAGGTTCCGTTGTTTCTCTCCGATCAATTATGCTTAAGAAGAGAAAAAAAATATTGCACCCATAATATATTATGCTGGTTTGTAAGCGGGATGGAGAGATTATATTTCTCTCAAGAAAATGTCTATTTTGTCCAGGGAGTGCGAGAACGGTTTGGAAAATCTCGAAAAGATGACGTCATAGAGCGCTATGAAAAGGCAGTGGAGAAAAAGATGGTTCAATGATTCAGCAGAGAGAAGAGTTGCATATTAAGAATAATACATACTAGTTTATTATAATAGTATAAGACTTACCCTCTTAATCGACCCGCACTAAAAATTTGATGACTATTTATTTATATGTATATATATATATATGGATATGTAGATACATATATATACACACACATACATATACATATATATATATATATATACATCGTTCAACTCTTACTTGCCAAAAGGTGGTTCAACATACATATATATACACACACACACATATACATACATATATATATATATACACACACATCGTTAAACTCTTACTTTCCAAAAGGTGGTTCGAATTAAATATCGACTCATAAAAATAATGATATAAGATTAAATAAGAGTGCGCTGAAAACTAGAACAAAATAAATATGAAAATCTTCAAACTTGAATATGATATTCAAATAAACACCATACAAAAGTTTAATTTTATTACGTCAAATGAAGTTTAATTTTATTACGTCAAATGTTTGTAGAGCTTTTAAGAACAATATTATAATTCGAAGGTGAAAAGAATATTTGAAACCTATGACTTAAGTCTATAAGGAGCTGTTTCATTAACAAAGGTACGAAGTCTTGTGGTATGACTTATTATAAAGTCTTGTATTCAAACTTTTTGGGTGAGCTTAATCTCAAAAATCTTTGATATCTTTCGAGTACGAGTCTTGGGACAGACGCAGGTACCCCAATTACAAAACTTCAACCTTATTGGTGTGTGCGCAGCTTCTTAGSTCTTTGGGTTCAATTCCCCTAATTTTCACCAAATTACTAATTTTTTTTTTCAAGTCTCACCAACTACTAATTATAGCATATCATATATTATAATCAATTAGTATTTTTGGAGATATAAAAGTATAACACTTATCAAATAAATAATGTGTATAAAAATGAAGTGCCTTAATCATACCTTTGTGCTAAAGATTCTAACCCTAAATTAACGTATATATTATATATATCTTTTATATACTTAGGGCTATATCTACATGTTAAATACAAATAATTCAATATTATTCCCTTAATCACATGCTAACCGATTGATCATTTTGACAAATTCTATTAACTGTTTAATATCAAACTTTGGAACAAAATCRAATTAATGATCATCATCAACTTAATTCAGAATAAGATTACAAAAGTGAATCTTTTGAAAGATTTGAAAAATGATATGACTGATCATCATTAATATATATTTCAAGCTTATGCATCTCTCTTTCAAATATTGATACCAATTGGGCAAGATCAAATGGAGTCAATGGAGTGCACCCAAATAGACTACTCACTAACTTTGTTTAACAAAAAAAAAATATTATCATTGAAATGAACTGTATATAATATATGATTAGTTTATAATTATATGGATTCAAATAAATAATTACTTGTCACAATCTCATATGGCACCTAAAATATATGATGATCTTGACTTATAGTTTCTTGGGAGACAGATATCCATTATTAAGCAAGCATTTTGTACTATTTATAATTATTTTTTGTCGACCTATGGATTCAAACTTCCAAAGGTAGTTTGATATTTATCTTTACTATTTCTGCGAGATCAAATAAATATGGAATCAAATTAATTTTGTCCACGTTTCCATTGACAATTCTATATGTCCATGGGTTGGAGATCGATCGGCATGAGGGGTGAATCAACATTTTTATTATATTGCTAAAAAATTCGACAAAATATAGAAAATATGGACATAATGTAAATATTAAAAAAATTAACTCATTTAAATAGTGTGAAATGCTCCTTCGTTAATTTAAATATTTGTTAYGAATTTTTTATTTTTATAATTTTTTCAAAACCATCAACATCTCAACATTTTATCAATATTTTCATTGACATTTTTATAAAATTTGAGATTTTGACGTTTCTATCCACCTCGACATTTAAAACATTTAGCATTTAAATATATATGGTTTGGTCCATAAAATATATACCATTATGTTTTTCATTTTGTATTAGTGTTTTAAAAATTTTGATTTCTCTTTTCCTTATGCCATAAAATTTTTCAATTCACCTACTAATAATGTTGTTAAAATTGAATGAAAAATTATAATATCACGTTTAAAATGATTTTATGTAAAGTCTACTCTCGATCCTAGCCAGTRTTGTTGAGCTAAATTTATGTTGGCTAATTACATATTATTTTACACTACAATATTTCAAATATCATGTCACATCATCATTTTACATCACATATGAGAACAAACTCGACCTCTTTTTCTCTCCCTTCCATTAYGAAATATACACATACGTACACGAACATATATATCGTTTTAATTTATACGTGCGAGCGAGCTATGTTGATGACTGATCTTTAAACTAAAGGTGAAAAGAAAATGTTTGTTCCCAACCCAACACATGGTTTGATTAGTTTGAAAAAGTGCAATAGAAAATGGGGACAAATAGACATGTCAAAGTCCAAGGCTCACGTGGTAGATTTTTGTTTGAGAACAGACCATGGGGACGTTCCTTGTCTTTTGGGGACAAAATTCTACTAAGTACTTTGAACAGATTGGCAAACCAAATTCACAGAGACCCATTTCTCAAGCCTTTGGAGTCGGTGGACCTCTCTTCCTCTCTGTGTTTGTTTGAACCCAATGGGGCATTTTTTGGTTTCTAAGTCTCTTCAATTTTTATCATTTGGTTTTGTCAGTGAGATTCTCTATATTTATTATTGCTGGTTAGTTTTCAAATTCTTAATCTTTCAAAAAAAAAATAACAAAGAGTTCAATTATTGGATTCCTCTTTCTAAACCCCATCTTGTAAGAACTCTCATAACATGTCTAAATTTAGACATCATTATCTTGAGGAAGATTTATAGTGATGAAGATTTGGGCTCTTGATATGACCATTTCTCCCTCCAAATCTTCCTAACATTTATTGATATCTTGAGGAAGTTTGTAAATCGAGTTAATCGAGGATCATCAAATATTTGGTTTGCGGAGACACTTAATAAATTCGCGTGTCGATGAACTCAAAAAATAATAAAACAATAATAAATGGAAAATGACTATAGAATGAGCTAGGACAAGAAAATAATCAGGTAGTGGTACATTTAACTTCAAAATTTTCTCTATGTCATATATATTGAATTATATCTCCATAGACGTACGTAATTTAAAGTTTAAGCTATTAAGTTGGTGTGTATTAGTGTAAATATTGATGAAAATTTTTTTAACCTAGTGATAATTTAACATAGTATCAAATTACGTGTAGGAACTCATAAAGATTGAATTTTGCAAAATTTATGTTTGAATTGTATAAATAAATAGATTATACAAATCTAGGTCGCACACATCATCTGTATTTGGTTTACAAATTCACGATTTATAAAAATACGAATTYCATCAACCAAATTTAGAATAGCTCAACTTCTTATTCAGAGATTACAAGAGTCTCACTTACGAACGGAACATAAACATTCATCTTCTGTCAAATGACAATCAAGCAACACCAAACAAACCAATCTTTGAAGAAAATTTTGATCAATCAAAACTGATCAAACCTATCTTTTAATATCTTAATTATTGAAAACAGTCTCTTAAGATTTGATGAGTATTCTCTCTCTTTTGATCTCTTTTGCCCATCATTTCATTTCAATAAATATTTGAGTTCAGTCAGTCACATGTGGGATGTGTCAAATCATATATATGTTGACACATATGACATTAGGGGACATACCATCACGTGAACAAAACATGGACTCCCATATTTTGAAGTGTCGACAAGACAATAAAGCATGATTTTGCAGAGCTTTGTACAAGAAGTTGGCTTTCTGAAAAATTATATGAGAGAAACAGAAACTCCTTCGCCATACCTAAAAATGATCGAGTCCACACACAATTTCCCTCCATGAACAAGCCCATCAACAGGGGTGTTATGCCACTCTCCACATGGGCCTAATTATTTGCTATCAACAGATCAGAAAGAAGAAATAGATGGTAAATAATAGGAGGGAAATTTGGGTTGGTGGCTACATTTACTAGGAGTGTAAGGAAACCGAACAGAATGAAAAAACGAACCGAACCGATTTACTTCGGTCAGCCTTTCCAATTTCAACTCACTCACTAGCTTCCCCCATTTTCTTCCATACTTCCCTTCTAGAAGCTCYCTACCTGAGCAGTGTCAGATAAGTAAATGACAGTAAGACACATCAGTGAGAAACTCGGTAGAAAATCAGTTAAAAAAAACGACTGAAGCTGTAAACAAGCTCCCAGCTTGCTATGCAAATCCAAATAGAAACAACAATCTTTGGACCAATCAAAGAGATGATTATGCTATATATTCTTCAGAGTAAATTCAACAATGGCCAATGAGTAGCTCGAATTCTTCAATTTTACAAGCAATGAAAGAATAAGATCTCAAATCCTAGATGGAAGTTACTTTGTTCTCATACACTTGACAATGACCTCTACGAATTTTTTGTACATGTGCCGCTTTAAGTACATTTTCTTTACCTTCTTTCTTCCTTCAGCGCCCATTTGCTCCCTTACCTGTGGGTTTTTTAGCAGAAACTGCAAGTTCTGGGCAAGGACTTGAGTGCCTGGATGCCCCAAAGGATGAAGAAGACCTGTCACATTGTGCTCAACAATCTCCTTTGTTCCTCCAGCATCGGTTCCGAGTACCTGCCCCCATTGAGTGATCATGTCATTAGATTAGGAATTTTGTCTTATAATCTCCAATGATAGGTAATCAAAGAACAGTAACAAGTTCTCTGGAACAAGACCTCTAAGACATGGCAACAAATTCAACATTATCCCAAACCTTCTAAGTCAAAAAGTTCCACTAAATCTTAATGAAGGGGCGGTTTCATGAATAGGTGGTGGACAGCATCCTTAGAGAGTGCATTACTAAAACGCTGAACATGAATTTACTGGTCAGTGACCTCCATCATCATTATTTTTTCTAATTTTATTCTGGTTTCGGCCAAGACATGATTAAACACATCCACAATTGGAATGCAATAGAAGACACAGCAGAGAAAAAAATTACTCTCTATGAAGACCGGCATAAATAGAAGAGGCAAGTAAGGTTGAATTTCATACCGGTAGACCAAATGCCATTGCTTCAATAGTTACTCTTCCAAATGTTTCACCTAGTCCCTGTAACAATTTCAAGATCAGTATACAAGAGAGCATACTAGCAATGTGCTTGAATTTGCATATTCCAGAGACTTCTACGTCAAGGAAAGATTCGTTTTAATTTGCCAATAGAGTGAGAAAATTCTGACTAGTATATTTGACCCGCAAAGGATTGTTGTTTGAATTGCCATATAATTAGACTAAAAAGTTATTTACATGCACTATCTTTCATAGAGTGATAATTTCCAAACCTTCTAGGTCATCACAGTTTAATTTTACTGAACTATATGGATAATGCAAGTTCTACAGCTTTCACATGATTAAGTCTTCAAAGATAAATCTAACCTGGGAATTTATAACGTAAATGTCTGCAGCAGAGTAAAGTGAGGCAACACGAGTAGTTGCTGGAGTCCACAGCACTGACTTTGACAAGTTTGAATGTTGTGCCAAAAACCTTAGAAGTCTTTTGACATAAATCACCTTGTTGCTTTTGGATCCAACAGACCCGATTACAAGTTTGAAAGGCATTTCCTGCCTTCCTACACTATCAACCAGCAGTCTCCTTCCCGTTGCACTGGCCATTTCATTCACAGGGCTATGTGGATAAAGGTTTTGAATGCTATTTTTTCTCGACACATTCAACCTATTAAATGTCTCGTTAAATATAGGCAGTTCTTTCAAGGATAATCCATTATCACTCAACTTTTGAAGCAAAGCTCTCATGTAACGCCTTCTGACCAAGTTGGATCGCACTGGACTTGTATCATCTGGATTCATAATCTTAGAATTATCTTGCTTTGATCCAGGGTCGATCAACAAGTTAGTTGATTCAAGAAGCAAGAAATGGCCCTTTCCAGGATTTATGCTGCTTAGGGTCATTACTACTACATCGCTATCGGCAACTCCCATCTCCTTTCGAACTGTACTACGTAATAACTGTTTCCTTTCAGCCATCTTCTCAGAGCTGGAAGACTCAGTATTGAGAGAACATGGAATGCCAGCGGTAAAAGCTAGTTCATCATTAACAGAGAGTGGTACAATTGCAGGTTGAGATCTCAGTTTTATATTTTCATCTTGACACCAATTCAACCACTGCTTTGATTGTAACTCTGATATGAAAATTAGCATTTTGACTCTGTCAAGGACAACTTTAGACCGATTAAAGTACTCTCTACGATTTTCCATGATCCACCAAGCAACTTGACTTGCACCAGCTGGAAAATGCTCAATATAGCTATCTGAAGAAAAAAAAATGTGAGCATCTTATACATGCTTATCTTGAAAGATAGAAACAAAAGTCATCAGCATACGTTCAAAAAGAGAGCCAGATTTAGAGTAACTTTAATCTCTATGATAATCTTCAAGTTTGACAAGCCTTTCATGAATCATGAGTCAAAGACTTGAAAGAAGCAAGAAAATGAATCATGCAAAAACTCATGGCAAAGATAAATTCTTACTCTTTCATTCTTCTGATAAAAATGTGGTGCTAATTGTTTTTGGAAAAAAGAATATCAGTCACAATTCCTTCCAGGCGTTACAGCAATAAATTTCTTGTAAGGTACTGTGCCACTAATCAGAATTAGGTTTGCAACGCAATCAAAATGGATATATATGGGAATGAGAATAATATCTTTAATTTGATGTTACTAAAATAATCTTAGTATAGGAATCAGGATTAGAGTATGTCATCATCATTTTGTTTATAGACATTAATAAAATAAATTTTATTTAAATTTGGTACTAGACCCACCACAAAAGTAAATATGAAAAGAAAATGTTAAAAAAGGAAGATAATGAGGGGAAAGGGGCAATGGAAATCCCTATTCCTTCATCGCTTCTCCCAAAATTAAGAACCATCTTTTATTTTAGGTCAAATCCACCTCTGAACAATAATTTCCATATTTTGATAAGGCATTACGAAAGCAAATAAAAGAGAGATTTTCATATTCTCATTCTCATTCTCATTCCAGACTAGTAAACGGGGCCAACACCAACCATATTTCATAAACAATGCACCGAAAATTGTTAAAAGGCTCTTACCAATCCATGATGCACACACTGCAGATCCAGCAATCACAAGATCCGACTTCATGGCTGTTTTAAAGCTGAGGTCAGCTTTGTCATCAAGCACTTTGATCCTTCGTCTTGAAAGCTCTGACATTAATCCACCCTTCTTGCTAAGAGCTACAGCAGAAACTGAGGCCCCACAACTCAAGAGCTCCGTTGCCAACTCCATCATTGAAATAGGAGCTCCAGTCATTGACAGCTCATGAAATATCAACACAAATCTTCTAGACCAGACAAGACGTGCAAAATCCCCTTTCCTATCACAAGTGCCAGAACGCTTCTCAGGACTCCACTCCAAAATTCTATCCTCTGTTGAACCAAATGGGCCAACGAGCAATCCATAAGAAGAATTTTTCAAAGGAATTTCTGGCTCCTGCTCCTCTATGTCATGACTTGTGACTTCTGCAGTCATTTTCCCCCTACCACGCACTTTACCACGCTTTGATTTCTTATTTCTCTTCCTTGATTTTGTTTTTTTAGAAGCAGAAACACCATTCCCCTTTCTAGCTAAAACCACATTGACCATGCCTCCATCACTCCCATTATTCTCTCCGGGTCTATTTTCAACAACTAAATGGTTTGTAGCAACCAGATTTTGAGACTGATTCTGTTCAGAGTCTAACTTCTGATTACTTTGTTGACTGCCAAATCCCAAAAAGTCTTCCTTATTTTCACCGTGAGCCCACCTTGACTGAACATAAAACCCAAGATAAGCCCACAGAGTAATCAACAATAGCCAAAACAAGACTTTATTACTTCGAATCCAATGCAAACCATATCCAGAACTTCTAGCTTCTCTTCTTGGTGTTCGACTTGAATGTAATCTCCTAAATGAAGGGGAACCTCTAGGCGTTGATTTTCCAGACAATGCTGACTTAAAACTGCCACTTGACCTTAAAGAAGACTGTTTTACTACATTTCCTAGAAAATCTCCTCTGTTGTTCCCTTCCATCTGTTCCTTCAACTTTCTACATTACCAAGGACCACTGTCCTTAAGGTTTGAATGGCACTGACAACTTAAACGAGCAGTGTTTGGACCTTGGACCACTCACGAACAGTCAAATATTATAAGCAAGATCCTTCGCGGCAGTTTGATATGGCTTCTACACAAAAACAAGAAGATCACTAATCTCACTTTAATCTAATTTACAAATAAATGAAATTTTTATCGCTGAAGTTGACTGCTATTTGGAAATAAAAAGAAATATGCATTCTCAAGTTCTCAACTAAGTGAGAGTAGATAGCAAACGGCTAAATTCTCGAGTTCCACTTCTCTTGCCTAGTCAAAAAAGTTCAAGAGCAAGAAATGATTTACACAAGTACCAAGCTCAATAAAATAAAAACAAATGACATTTCAAACTCGATTATTCGTTTTCCCAAGTAACCAGTGAGCCAGTGACTAAAATTCAAAACTCTGGCTTCTTTTCTTTGCCTAAAATAACCAAGGACCATTCAGTAAAGAGGAAGTCAAACATTTCCTAGTCTCTGAAGTCATTTTTTCCCGAGGTAAGGTAACCAAGAACCATGCAATAAACAGTACGGCAAACATTTCCTAGTCAATATACGTCACCGAGTAAAAGCCCGTATTTCTGCAAATATCATAAAATACATTAGCTAAATTCCCCCGATCAACAACAATCACACTCTTACAAATATCCCAAAATCTTTATTTATCCATTCATACATAATCTCATCCAAGAATGTGAAATGCGGCATAGTTATCCCCTCTCCTGAGGATCAAGCGCAAACTTTCATATCAAGCGTCAAAAATCAACCAACAAAAGAAGCAAGATTACGGAAACAGAAAGCGTTTCCTCGTTTCTGAAAGATTATAGTTCAAAAACAATGAGCTTAGAGATTATAGAGTGTGAAGAAGAATTGCTACATGGATCTTCTTCAGAGAGGAAGTTCAATCGAGATCCGAGCTTCGAGTTTCTTGAATGCGCGATTCCAAGCTCAAGCACAGTAGACGAACTCCGTCGAATCGCTCTGATCTGGTTCTTTGAAGAAATTGGATGAGAGAGAAGTAGAGCTTTAGAGAGAGAGCGCGCGGTGGAGGAAGCTTTGCATACAGTAGCAGCGGAGAATTCGGGAGAAAGAGAGAGCTCTGTGAGTGAATGAAGCGGGGAGTGAAAATTCAACGGAAATGATCGCACGTGCAGCAATTGGCGCGTGAAACTACTGGTGTAGAAAAAATGTGATTTGGTGAGCCGATCCTATTCTCCACATCGTAGACCCTCGATTTCCACCCGTCCGATTTGTAGGTCTTCTTTATGATTATCGTTTAAAAAACACTCTTCCGACTAAACTTTAAAAAAAGTAACGATTTAATACCTATATTTTCAAATTAGTAATAATTTAATTCTTAAAATTTAACCGATAATAATTGAGTTCTTGAAGTTCAAAGTTTTTAACTATTTAATCCTTATTGTAAAATATGATAGAAATTGACGTTTAGTTTTGATGAGAGTTTTCACGGTAGGAACTAAATTGATTCAAATTTTAAAATTTAAAATATGGAGATTAAATTATTACATATAAAATTTAATGACTAAATTGTTACTAAAATAAAAATACAGAGACTAAATCATCAAATTTCAGAAACTAAATTATTATTCTAATGAAAGCACATAAATCAAATGGGTTTTTAAAACTTATTTTTAAAGTTTAAATTAAAATAAGTTTTAAAACCCCTTTGGAATAAATAATCCATAAAGCCACTTTAAATAAATAATTTATATCTCAAGTCCCGTAAGATTCTTTCTTACCAACCAATACATTAAATATTAAGTAAAGTTTTGGTACTACCATTGCTCTCATTTATTGTAGTTATATTATTATCAGTTAAAATAATGTTGAGTCCATAACAAGAAAGTGATAGTAATTACATATGTTCAATGCTAATATAGTACAAACATCAATATTATCAACCTGGTGAAGAAAATAAAGATCTATGCCAAAGGATTGAGTGGGAATCTCTTCTTCAATTTTGAGTGATAAGAAAAGCTAAAACAACAAACAATCACGAGCTAAAAATAGCAAAAAATTCACAAAACTTCTCATTTCAACAATGTCCGGAGCAAAATGTTTACAAAACTTCACAGAGGAAAGAAAGAAACTTCTTCACTTCAGTGCCGATGATGCACAAGACAATCCCTAGAGAAAAAGGCCAGATGATGACAATGAATCTAGTAAACTAACGTAATTAAACAACATGATTTAAGGGCACATCTAAATCACAATAATATATGAAGTTGAAGTTGTTTGCAAAGAATGTCAAGGGCTTTTGGGATGCCGTTTCCCGACACGGTGAAAGGAATCTCTGTGCCCTCCATTTGCCGTTTATCATGGCGCCAAAGCTCCCCTCCTCATGCCAAATACTTCTACTCCTTCCCTCATCTCAGGTTGGGTGTTTCCAATCAGCAGCCAGGAACCAATCATCTTACACGACCTAGTTATGTGCCGTAGTCACTGCAATGAAAATGATGACCAACCAAAGTTACAAACCGACTCGAATACAAATATTCTTCATTTGCTCGATCATCTAGGGGAAAAAATCATCTGCACATAATGAGAAGTTTCAAGATTTGACGAAATATATCACAGGAATGAAGAGGACTGGAGGAGCATATTAGCTCTCTCCCTCATATCCCTTCATGATCAGACATATAAAGCTTACAAGCATAGTTAATTTAGTGGTAAATGTTGCACTTATATGTATTAGAAACAGGAACAGTAGTCGACCAGATTCACAGATGGTAAAAATATATAGGTCACGGAAATGAAGTTCTAAATTGCATTTTGGAATCAACTAATCACCAGAGACAAAATTGGATTTCGCACTCGCCCGACCAATTGCTTCTAGGTTGATGGGGCATTTGTACTCATACTTCATCAGCCTCACTACCATTAACGAGAACTGCACCATCGGTAGAATCACCATCAACCACAACACCCTCCTCTTGGCTCTCGTCTCCATAATGTTCTGCAATATCCTTGTCTTGTCCATCTCCATTCTGTTCAGTACCCTGTCATAGAACAGTTGAAAGGGTGAAGAAAAAAGAAAGTGAGAAAGTGATCACAACAATATAATAAAAGATACCAGATTTCATAACAGTGAACTATGGATGAGACGTGACTGAAGATTAAATTAATCATGGAGCTCCAAATTTCGGATTATGCTATCTTCTATAAATATTGGCATCATATTCATTGGGTACAGATGAAAGTCTCCTACCACTTGGAATAGGCAAACACTTCCTTCGAATTATGCTCTTCTTAGTACCAACTAGTTCGTGGCTGACATTCACACCCATAAATAACAGGACCAAAAACAGCATTTCCAACTATGATGCTATTTAACTTCCACTCAAGCAAGTCCCATACCTCGTAATCCACGTCTCCATTTTCAAGATGCCCTTCTATTTGCATACTCCTAAATGCCTCCACAAGTGTCGTGTATGGCTTATCAGCATGATTGGCATACTCCTCTGCAGGGGTAAAAACTCCCCTGTAACACATTCCAAAATAAATTCTTAGTAGACATTGGGTAGCAGCTACCATACATAGGGGTACCGGAAACAGAACAGCCTTGTAATGTAAACTTCCATTCCCAGTTAATGGAGAGAAGACCATGAGCACAGCAGAATTTTAAAGAAGAATAGGTTATAACAAGAGTGGAAGCCCACATAGATATACAGTAAATTATAAATTTGCAATTATGCACATGCTTTAGTGCACTTCATTCGACGCATGCACCAAAACATGTGTAAATAGAACCATCAGCAGGAGAAAACAACAGAACTTTTACCTGTTCTGTGCGGCTCTAGATTCAACCGATAATGCCACTTGCCAGTCATCAAACAAGTTGGGATACTCCTCAGGATCAGCCAATGATTCAGCAGCTTTTGGGTTAACCTGAATTAAGGCCAAATTTTATCAAGATGTTCCAGATGGTCCAGAAAAGCTCATATAACCATTAAATGCAGTCTCTCTCTACATATTAGCTACATAACTACATGGGCATAATGAGACAACAAATTTCTGCATGCGATAGTACATATCTATCTTTACATTTCACAATTTTGAAAAATGTACCATGCATAAATTTATTAACTATGTCCACTTTAAAATTAATATACGAATTATGAAATACACCAATGTTAATACAAGACATTTTCAAAGATGTTCTTTCACCTGTTCATTTAAATAGCTAGATCATCAACAGAAAGGTAACCATTTAGTTTACCTTATTCAGGTCTTTCCTCCAAATTGCGACTATCTCTGATACCTTGCTTGGAAGATATGATCGAGCCATCAATGCAGCTTCTGGAATCCGATTACTGGAAAATAATATTTATATACATAAATAATATAAGATCAATTATTATCCAACATCAGAAGGGTGTGGCAGAAGATTAACTTTTTTACCTTTCTACCAACAACTGAAGGCAGTCTTCCAATCTACCTAACATAAATAAACAAAGGAATGCAACGTTGTTCTTTCCTTGCTCCTTGGCGAGGGTTGCAAGTTGTGATATCCCTTGAGCATCTCCTAGGGAAGAATACAGCAGTAACAAACCACTAAAATCCACAGCATACTTCAAGCATTCCTCGGCCATGTCTAACTGCAACAATACAAGGGACGAAATAAAGGGAAAAAATGTTTATCAATGTACATAAGAGACGAACGCAGCAACAGTTTAAAATGAGGGGGGAAAACCTTTCCAATGGACATAGCCAGTTCACCAAGCTGCTTCCACTTGGACTCACTCTGGACTTCTACCGCAATTTCCTGCAAGTAGACAATTGAAATTTCAATGGGCATGAGAAGAAATAACCCAGTGCTTTATACTATTGCTAAGGGAAATAAGGAGAGAGAGAGAGAGGACAATTTTAATAGATTTTTACACTAAGGAATCTCACAGTAAACTAAAATGAGTAAATCATACCTTTGCAATCCTTAATCTACCAAGCTGTATCGCAAGATCAAATCTATAATCCAGATCAGTAGCTACTTCCAGAGCTTCCTCTATCATACCTCGTGATTCCAAGAAACGAGCCACGCTGGAAGGGAACAGGGTCTACTATCATACACTATAAAATTTACTAGCAAGACAATAATATAAAGTTGATAACACTTACGCACAGCCACAAGTAAACAAACTTCGGCTTCAAGATAATAGAATATTCATACCATGTGAAAGATTTGCCTTATAATGCCCAACTGAAATTCGTATCAATGAAAATCTTCATTTCTTTGTTAAATAAAAAATGCTCAAGTGAAATACATATCAAAACATTCGAACAAGAACCAAAACCAAATTTCCATAAATTCCATTCAAAGAAACAAAACAGACAAATGGGAGGAAGAAAGAAAACCCAAGAAATTCAGGTGGAGCCCTTGGATTCAAAATGTTTGATCAGGTACAGAAATCCCAAGCACCCCATAAGTTTCCATATGATTAAATACTGTAAGATTGGGCAGAGCTCAATTTCAAACCTCGTGAAAGTTAATAAAATGTCAGGTTTTGAAGTAAAAATTTCAGGAAAAACAGCTGAAGAAACAAAACAGACGAAGAAGGGAAAAAGAGAAGAAGTTGAATCTCAGATCAGATAAGAAGATGTAGGAATCATCTACAAAACATGACGTAACCAAACAAACCCAGCATATTAGGTACAAGCTTTAACATAACTGAGGCAAATTTTAGAAGGCTAGAAACCAAATATAATTGAACTTAAAACGATTTATTCAACTATTACCTGTTACGGTGCTCCTTGGGAATGGAAGGCAAGACTTCATTGGCTCTTTCATAGTCCCCACGCATTACAAGGGTCTTGTACTCGATCAAGCTAAGAAGCAATGTGTATCCAACAACACTGCATCACAATAAATAGCATCAAAATTCTGAATGCAGTTCATTTCCAACTAACATTCCATGTTTCCAAGGAAAGGAGTAAAAGTTGCCATACTTAAACTCTTTGTCTATCAAATAGACCCGACTTTGGCTGGCAAGATACCCGAGCAAATACATGGGCCGATCCAAATGAAACATGGTGGTCACCTGCAATTATGAGGTTATGTATCAAGTTAGCTTCATTGTGGCCAGTAGATGGGGATATCTGCA